AAAACATTGGAGACAACCCCTAAACAGGGTTGTCAAACTGCCAGTCCGCGGGCCGGATGCGTCACCCAAAAACTGTGCCCGCCCCATTGCCGGCAATGGCAAAACAATCCCGATACGTCGCGCAACGTAGCGTGACGTTGTGAGTTTAACATGTCTTCCCTAAACTATTGAAAAGGATTTAGTTATTTGGAGAAGTAGCAGGATTGAAGAGAAATAGAGAAAAAACAAAAGTTATAGTTAAAAACCTTACATCTAAGCAAAAAGAACAATTGTAAAAAAAAATGGATTTTCAACTAGTTAGGAAAGTTAAATATTTGGGAATATACCTAACAGCAAGATGTGCAATGATAAAAGATAACTACATAACATTACTTAATCAAATAAAATTAGATCTAGAAAAATGGAAAAACTTACAACTATCAGTATTAGGAAGAATAGCTACTGTGAGAATGACTAGTTTACCAAACTGCTCTTCTTGTTCCAAACAGCACCTATAAAAATAGAGAAGAATTTCTTTGATGATTTAAATACTTTGATTTTGAAATTTATTTGGCAAGGAAGGAAACCCAGAATTAAACTGAAAATGCTACAAGAATCCAAAGAAAATGGAGGATATGGATTACCAGACTGGGTCTTATATTATCAAGCATGCACCTTAATATGGCTAAAAGAATGTCAGATATAACAGACTGTTATATCTAGAAGGACATGATCCACAACTAGGATGGCATGCATTTCTATGGTATGAGAAGAATACAATTCATAGATACTTTCAAAATCATTATATAAAAAATACACTACTTCTTGTGTGAGAAAAGATAAAAGCTAAAATCTACTTAAGAATCCCAGAATTGCTTTCAATGATGGAAGCCTTTGTTCTTCGAAACAAGTGAAATATGAAAAAAAATGGACATATAAAGATATTTGCGATACCAAAGGGAAATAAAAATCTAAACAAGAGGTTGTACACCAGGGTACTGAATTATCATGGTGGCCTCAGTTGCAAATGCAATCGAGCTATGATAAAGATGCAAAAATATATGTTTTTTTTATAAAAAACAGACAATGTTTGATCAGATATTGTTGACCTCTGATAAAAAAACTGATTAAGAAACTATATAACATTCTATTAAATTCAAAAATGGAGGATAAACAAGGAAAGAAAAAATGATACAGTAGGCAGAAAACTTTGGATATAATATTAAATTAGAGAAATGGCAAAATCTTTGGGAAAGAAATTGTAAAGTGACTGTGGCAATTTCTTATAAAGAAAACTGATATAAAATGTTCTATAGATGGCATTTGCCACCTGCTAGATTAGCAAAAATGCTTAAAAATATGTCCAGTAAATGTTGGAAATGTAATCAAACCCGTGGCCTGTATTACCATATATGGTGGCCTTGTGTTAAAGAAAAAGAAAAATGGGCCAAAAGACACACTTGGTTAGAAAAGATGTTAGGGAAACATGTAGATTTTAAACCTAAACTCTTTTTATTCGGTATAATATCAGAAACATTTAATAAGCAAAGTTTATATTTAACATTGCATATATTAACAGCAGCAGGGATTGTATTTGCTCAGCACTGGAAGAATGAAGAAACACCATTAGACAAAGAGATAATCAAGAAGATATTGGACTGTGCTGAAATGGACAGAGTTACATTGAGGATGAAAAAGAAAGAAGATACAGAATATTTTCAAACATGGAATTTATTTAATCAATGGTTGGAGAAAAGGGGTAGACACTAAGAATATAACTTGTATTATTAAGCAAACAAATTGGCCCAGACAACACGATGTTTATTAATCACTAATCAAATATAATAATAGAAAATTAGAGTTGGAAGGGACCTTGGAGGTCTTCTAGTCTACAAGAATCCAAAGGAAATGGAGAATTTGGATTACCAGATTGGGTCTTATATTATCAAGCATGTGTCTTAATATGCCTAAAAGAATGAATAACTCTCAGACATAAAAGACTTTATATCTAGAAGGACATAATCCGCAACTTGGTTGGCATGCATTTCTATGGTATGAGAAGAATAAAATTCATAGATAGTTTCAAAATCATTATATAAGAAATACATTACTTCTTCTGTAGGAAAAGATTAAAAATAAAATCTACTTGAGAATCCCAGGATGGCTTTCAATGATGGAAGCGTTTGTTCACCCGAATCTATTCAAATATGAAAAAAAATGGACATATAAAAATATTTTGGATACCGAATGGAATTTAAAATCTAAACCACAGCCTGTAGACCAGGATACTGAATTATCATGGTGACCTCAGTTGCAAATGCAATCGAGTATGATAAAGATGCGAAAACGTATGGTTTTTATAAAAAACAATGTTTGATCAGATACTGTTAACCTCTGATAAAAAAACTGTTTAAGAAACAATATAATTTTCTATTAAATTCAAAAATGTAGGATGAAAAAGTGAAAGAAACAATGATAACAGTAGGCAGAAAACTTTGGATAGAATATAAAATTAGAGAAATGGCAAAATCTTTGGGAAAGAAATTATAAACTGACCATGGCAAACTTCTTATAAAGAAAACTGACATAGAATGTTCTATAGATGGCATTTACCACCTGCTAGATTAGCAAAAATGTTTAAAAATATGTCCAGTAAATGTTGGAAATGTAATCAAACATATGTAGTGGCCTTGTGTTAAAGAAAAAAAACGGGGGGAAAAATATACACTTGGTTAGAAAACACATTAGGAAAACATGTAGATTTTAAACCTAAACTCTTTCTATTAGGTATAATATCAGAAAAATTTAATAAGCCAAGTGTATATTTAACATTGCATGTATTACCAGCAGCAGGGATTGTATTTGCTCAGCACTGGAAGAATGAAGAAAGACCACTAGACAAAGAGATAATCAAGAAGATATTGGACTGTGCTGAAATGGACAGACTTACATTGAGGATCAAAGAGAAAGAAGATACAGAATATTTTCAAACATGGAATTTATTTCAACAATCGTTGGAGAAATGGGGTAGACACTAAGAATGTAACTTGTATTATTAAGCAAACAAATTGGCCCAGACAACACGATGTTTATTAAGCACTAATCAAATGTAATAATAGAAAATTAGTTTTAAAAATTGTAAATAAATAAATAAATAAATAAATAAATAAATAAATAAAATAATAATAATAATAATAATAATAATAATAGTAATAATAATAATAATAACAACAACAACAGAGTTGGAAGGGACCTTGGAGGTCTTCTAGTCCAACCCACTGCTCAGGCAGGAGACCCTATTACTATTCCTGAAAATGGCTGTCCGGTCTCCTCTTAAAAACCTCCAGGGATGCAGCACTCCCAACGTCTGGAGGGAAGCCATTCCCAAAGAATCAACCTTCACTTGAAGGAGACTTTTGAAATCTTCCCACCAGCAGAAAATCGCAGCCCCCAGTTTAACAGCCTGCAGCACCAGTGGACGTAAAAGTTGGGGAGGGAAGGAAAATGCAGCAGCAGCAGCTGAGATGCTTCAGCCCAGTTGCTTCTCTGCTTGGACGCCCTGGAGGAAACCAAACAGCCCCGCTTGCTCCCGGCTTCTCCTCCGACCTGCCCTCCACTCACCTTCCAGCTGCTGCTTCAATCTGGGAAGAGCACAAAATCCTCCCTACACACCATCTTCCTCCTGTTAGTGATCAGGAAGAGGAAGTTCCTGGGCGCTTCCCCTCTCCTCCCTTCCTTTCTAGCAATATAGTACTCGATGGTTTTAACTCCTTTAAAGTCAACCACAGATGCCCCCTACTGTATTGTCCGCTTTCTAGGCACAGATGTTGCCTGTTTGACCGCGGATAGGAGAAAAACAGGCTTCTCTCATCTCTGCCTAAGGCTTTTGCACGATTTCCCCCCTGATTAAAAGCTATCAAGTCGTTTTTGACTCCTAGCAACTAACCTTTCCAACTGAGCCAAGTGAAATAATGAAATGTGATGCTGGTTAGCTTGTGAAGATTAGCTACGTGTTGAGCCCTAAAAGTTTAGGTTTTTTAGAATTACAGTTTTTTTATGGGTGGCTCTCACTGGAGATCAAAACCTCTCTACACCCGAAATCTTTATGACTTATTTAATGTGGCTCTCAAGGTTTTAGGACATAGCAGCAACATCAGGCCAGATGCACCAGGGGAGCCAACTTCCCTCCTGCTGGCCAGGGCTGCATCCAAGGGCACCCAGCATGCCAGCTTCATTCCTGAAGGAGGAGAATGTAGATTTGCTAAATGCTATGTACTTCTGTAAGTTTGCTTGAAGGGAAGTCTCTATTAGGTCACGGAGAGAGAGAAAAAATGCAGCAGGGCTCAAAAATAGGGGGCTAAGAAAGGGGGGGGGCGATTGTGAACATACGGTAGAGGAAATATTTCAAAAATACATTTTAACAACATCCAGTGATGGAGCATCCATTTCTTCTGTCTAACTATCAAGAAATTTCTCCTTAGCTCTAGGTTGGTCCTGTCCTTGATAAGTTTCTAGCCATTGCTTCTTGTCTTGCCTTCAGGTGCTTTGCAAAATTGGTTGACCCTCTCTTCTTTGTGGCTGACCCTCAAATATTGGAACGCTGCTATCAGGTCATCCCTAGTCTTTCTTTTAATTAAACTAGACATAACCCATTCCTGCATCTGTTCTTTATATGCTTTATACAGTAGTGGCCAAAATTGTGGAAACCCTTTGGGAAAAGTACATTTGAGGTTTGATGGCTAATAACACCACTTCTTTTTGGAGTAGTACCAAAAACCTATATATCAGTGGTGGCGAACCTATGGCACGGGTGCCAGAGGCGGCACTCAGAGCCCTCTCAGTGGGCACCCGTGCCGTCGCCCAAGTCCTAGGCCTTCAGCTGGGTTTTATAAAACCTTTTCACTTTAGGCCTCCGCCGCCATGTACAAAAAAAAAGGTTCAATCAATCAAGTCAATTTCAACTTCTCGCGGGGAAAAAAAGATCTTGCAAAGTTGGAATTGATTGATTGAACTTTTTAGTCCCACCCAGTCTGCCGTTACCACCGCAGCCACGCCCATCCAATGGCCACGCCCACCCAATGGGCCACACCCACCCGGCACCTGACGATGCATAAGTGGGTTTTGGGTTGCAGTTTGGGCACTCGGTCTCTAAAAGGTTCGCCATCACTGCTATATATCAATGGAAAGATAATTTAATCAAACATGTAATGTAACAAAGATTGTTCAGTTATCTGTATTCTATGAAAGGTTATAGCCATATAACCAGAAAAAGGAAGCACAATTTGCTTTGGTTGATATCAGGTAGCATTCCTTCATCTGATTGTAGCCAATGAGCATGAGTATTTAGAGAGCCAATCAGGTGTCATCTTATTTTGGCAATAAGCCAATCAGATCACAGTAGGATTCAGTTATTGATGTCATGTATTGAAGCTGAGAGGAGGACATTTGTGAATGTGTTATGTGATATCTATCAAGTTGGTTGTGGTTTTTTTTTTGTGTTCTTTTATTTAGTGAGCTTGTAAAATGTAATAAAATTAAAGTAATGGTGCAAAGAGTTGACTGGTCACCCATTCTGGGAATTCTGGGCCTCAAAATCTGGATGAATCCAAGGCAGAAGACTGAAACTCCACATGTGGGAATTATATAATCAATACACAAAACTACTACCCCAGGATTTTTGAGGAATTCCACTTCTGCAAAAAAATATCCAGTAACTGCTGCTGATAACATGAAACGGATTTAGCCTTTTTCCATTTTCTTTTTCCCTTCACCTACAAGAGAAATCCCGAGAAATGTTTGAGTAAAAAGATCTGCCTTATGTGATTGTCCAAATGACTTGTTCCTTCCCACTGATTCCTAGATATTTCCATCTTTTTCTGAACTAGGAAATGATATCCCTTGATGTTTGATATATTTCTTTGTCCAGCTCAAATAGGAAGAAGACTTTTGTAGTTTTCCAGAGGAGCTAATAAGATTTTGATTGCTGCCTTGACTTGCTTTGCATTTTAATGCTGCTTGTGATTCTCAGGTCTCCACAGTGCTCCCTTTGACATTCAGAGAATCATCAGGGAAGTCAGACAGATCCTCTGTAATGTTATGATTTTCAAAGGCTACAAGCCCACTGGGGTCCAGGGAGCAATGATGTCGCACAACTGAAGGCTGCTTTACACGTTGTAAAGTTACGAGGGAAATCCTAGCTTAGTTTTCCAGTTTCAAATGTCCTAATTTCCTTCTCTCAAAGTGGCAGGGATGGAGAAGACCATCCCTGAATCTGAAAAGAATGTCAGTCAAAACAGATCCAATTTAACCACTCAAATTTTTTAACTGTGCCTAAGGAAATGCCGTACTTTTTTTTAAACAAGTTTTATTTATTTTCCATTTTTACAAACCTTCGGGTATTTAAGGAAGGAACATGGTGGTTGGGTAATACATAGTCCAATAACATGCTTATCCATACATATATCAGTTTACATCATCAAAAAGTTCCTCTGTTTCCCTTAATCATTATGCCAAATTCAAATTAGTAGGTTGCTAGTTATAACTCAATCATTTAAAACTTTTATAAACAACTTTTAGATTATATATCTCCAAATCCTGTTTTTAACTTTTGTGTGGTTTCAATTAGAATATTCCAGTTAGCTTACTGTCCAATAATGTTTAAGTTTCAGATAGCCCACGGTTCCCTTAAATCATACAAAATAATATCATGTCTAAGATACACTTATTATTTATTCCAGTAAATTCTTAATTTATTTCACAATCATATTCTAATTCTCATTTTAATATCATCGCTTACTCATAAAATAACCTTTATCCTCTAAATCCATCTTCTATTTATAATTCAAAACAATTATTTAAATAATTTATTTCCCTTATAAATGTAGATCCTAACTATTAAATCCAATAATATTTTTTAAAATTTCCTTGGTGCATTACATAAGGTTTAAAGCTCTTCCATTAGGTATCACACAAAGAAAACCATTTTTTTTAAAAAAAATCTAACTCTGGTCTTCCTTTTATGCCAAGCCAGCTTCCATAAAAAAATCTTTTAGATCCTCAAGTGGCTCTCCCTTCCTTCTTGGATATATCTGATCCACCATCAACATATTAAATTGCTCCCTGAGCAAAGCTATGGAAACTTTTAAATTATTATCCAATGGATTTAAAATAAAATCCTTTTCTTTTAGTTTAATCTCCTCTTCTAACTCTTTTCGTTTTTGCATTTGTTTGCACCTATAAGCATTATTCATATAAATCAAAGCACCTCTCATATACGCTTTACTAGCATCCCAAACCATTGAAATCGAGGTGTCTTTATACATATTCAATAAAAAAATTCTTTCAATTGATCTTTACATTTCTGCAAATTTCCCTCATATCTAAATAAATTTTCATTTAATCTCCAAGTCCTTTTGTTCCCATCTCCAGCCCATAATTCCATCCATACCGGACTATGATCTGATAATGTTCTAGGAAAAATCTTAATATTCTTCACCCTAGAAAAGAAATCATTAGTTATTAGAAAAAAAATCAATTCTAGAATGAGATTGATGTCTGTCCGAGAAAAAAGTAAAGTCTCTTTCTTCTGTATTTCGTTCTCTCCAAATGTCTCTTAACTCCAGATCATCCTTCAAATCAAAAAAAGTTTTAGGCAGTATAGAATAACTGGAAGCTTTAAAGCAGGGGTGTCCAAACTTTTTTCAAAGAGGGCCAGATTGGATGAAGTGAACGTGCTGGAGGGCCGAACATTTTTCCGAACATTCTTTGAACCATTACAATTAAATGCAAATGAATTATTTTATGCCTCTTTCCTCTTTCTCTCTCTCTCTTTCCTTTCCCTTTCCTCTCCCCTCTCTCTCTTTCTCTTTCCTCTCCCCCTTTCTCTTTCCTCTCTTTCTCTTTCCTCTTTCTCTTTCCTCTAACTTTCTCTCTTTCCTTTCTCCTTTCTTTCCTCTTTCCTTCCTTTCTTTCCTTTCTCTCTTTCCTCTTTCCTTTATTTCTTTCCTCTTTCTCTTCTTTCCTCTTTCTTTCCTCTCTCTCTTTTCTCAATCTTTTTTCTTTCCTCTTTTTCTTTCCTCTCCCCCTCGCTTTCTTTCTCTCTTTCCTTTCTCTTTCCTCTCCTTTCTCTGCCTCTTTCCTCTTTTTCTCTTTCCTCTCTCTTTCTTTCTTTCCTCTCTCTTTCCCTTCTTTCTTTCCTCTCCCTTTCCTCTCTTCTCTTTCTCTTTCCTTTCTCTTTCTCAATCTTTTTTCTCTTCTCTTTCCTCTCCCTCTTGCTTTCTTTCTCTTTTTCTCTCCCTTTCTCTTTCCTCTTTTTCTTTCTTTCCTCTCTTTCCTTTCTCTTTCCTCTCTTTCCCTTTCCTCTCTTCTCTTTCCTCTCTTTCTCTCTTCCTTTCCTCTCTTTCCTTTCTTTCCTCTCCTCTAACTTTCTCTTTCCTCTCTTTCTCCTCTTTCTCTTTCCTCTCTTTCTTTCCTTTCTCTTTCCTTTCTTTCTCTCTTTCTTTCCTTTCTCTTTCCCTTTCCTCTCTTTCTCTTTCCTCTTTCCTCTATTTCTCTTCTCTTTCTCTTTTTCTCTTTTCTTTTTCTTTTTTCCTCTTTCTCTTCTCTTCCTCTCTTTCCTCTAACTTTCTCTCTCTCTTT